AGACCACAGAAGATCATAAAATCAAGCAAAAGTTGTAGTTAAAGGACAATTAATAAGCAACATTTAAAAGTTTATTTTGTTTCTTAATTTTAAGGCAATTAAAAATATATCCTGGCATGTAATAAGAAATGTAAAGCTTGGCACTTCAAATGTTCAGCCTCTGTTCAGTGAGGCATGCAGGGAAGAGGACACAGAAATTCTTCAAGTATTAGAAGGTTCCTCATGAATCATGCGGACAGGTTAGTTCTACATGTTACATACCCCTTCCATGTTTAGAAATCTGCAGATTCTCTTCTTACCTATTCCGATGGAAATGAATACGTCTGTGGGAAGCTTGTTTTGGTCAGTTACATGAAGCCTCCCACAGAGAGGGCAGATAATTCATTACGATTTGTGTCACTTTCAAGATATCTGGAGTGGCTCATGACTGTGAGTGCCAACCTCAGGGCAGACTGTCAGGAAACAGGGCACGAACCCCAAACTGGTTGTGTGTTCTATACTTCGATTTCATCAACCAAGTATCAAATGTGAACTCCTCAAACATAATAACAGCCTTAACATGGAGTCACAGACAGTCCCCTTGGGCACTCCAGTCTATCTTTCCACTGAGGCAAGCTGGACTTAGTGATAGATGGTCCCTGACACCAAAAATCCAGGTCAAGTGCACCCCAGATCTCTCACCAAATGCTTGTAGCCAATCCTATTATAAACTAACTAAAGGTTTATTAACTAGGAAAAAGAAATGAGAATTATTTACAAGGTTAAAGCAGGTAAACATACACATGCACATGAGATATAGTCTTAGGTTCAAAAAGATGATAGTAGCTGCTATAATATGCAAGCTTTATATGTTCTTTAGGGCACAGGTTCTCAACGCTTTTTGGACCAGAACCCATTTATAAACACTGATGGCCAGACCTGACCCAGTAAATAGCTTAAGTAGAAAACACACAAGTATTTTGCCCCCAAAATATTTATTACCCACTACATGTAATAACAACAATAACGATACTAAGTTAAAGCAGCTCAACAGTCAGAAAGCTAAAAGCAGAAATCAACATCAAGAGGAACACGTTAACAACAGTATAATAAATCCGAGGTTCCACTTTATGAGAAACCTGAGCTTGCTTCTCTTTGATGAGTTTATCAAAGCTTGGCGTAATTGTAGTCAGCATAATCTGAAGGTTCTGTTCAACAGCCGGTCTGTTCCTGCTTTTATTCTTCAGTTGAGTCAAGGCAGAGAATCCAGTTTTCTACAAGTATGTTGTACTGAAAGGCAAAATGATTCTAACAGCATGGCAAGCAAGAGAAGGCTATTCTCCAGCAGCACTGCACCAAAATTGGGGAAGGTTCATTTCAGTATATTTTCTTTGTAGACTGTGATCACAAGATAACTCGACCAGTTGAGATTCTTGCTTCATAGGTAGACTCATGTTTTCCAACACAACTCCAAATGGACCCTGTATCCATTCTTCACCCTTCAGTTGCTCGTCTGGAAAGTAATCACAGAATCTTGTGTGCAACTTAGTTAAACGCTTACTGATAATTTTCTTCAGTGCTTCTTGGCTAGCAGAATATTTCCATTTTTTTTGTTTCTAGAGACACGTTATGAAACATGTCCATCCTATCATTTGAAGCATGTTTGTTCCACAGAGAGAGGGGTATTTTTGAATGCAGCAATTCTGTCAGTCTACTCAAAGCAATGTAAAGCCCTCTGCCCTGTAAAGACAGATTCAAATCCTTCAGCTGATTGAATATATCTCCCAGATATGCAATTTGAGCAAGCCATGTGTTGTTTCTGAAGTGCTCTGCCAGGCGAGACTTTTTTTCTTCAAGAAAAGCTGCCAACTCACTTTTACTTTCGTATACACGAGACAACATTTTGCCACTGGATAGCCAATGAACCTCATCTGTGGTAAAGCAGATGTACATGTGCACTGCCCATTTCCTGACCGAAAACTTGCAAGCATCGTGAATTCTTGGCATTTTGTTTGCTGTAACTCACCATTTTGACAACATCTTTAAGAGTTTAGTGATGCTCAGGTACATGTCTTTAGCTGCTCAGGCCTCCCTGTGCAGGAAACTGTGGTCCCACATTTCATTGGATGCTTTCAAAAGGATTCTTTGAACAGCTCCTGAATGTTTCCCTGTCTGTCATTGAAGCGGCTCCATCAGTTGTAATCCTAACACACTTCGACCAGCTCAATCCCACTGACTCCAAGTAATTATCTAGTGTAACAAATATATCAGCAGCAGTAGTAGAAATAGGCAAATCCGCACTAAACAAGTACTGTTCTTGAAAATCACTTTCCCATACATGCCTCACATAAACCACCAAGATAGCACGGTTTGACAGATCTGTAGATTCATTTAATTGTAAAAGAAAACAGTTGCTTACTGAAAGATGATCAGTTGTTTGCAGTTTGATGTCTTCTAAGATATCACAAATTCTTCTCTGTATTGTGTTGTCGGAAAGAGGGATTGTTTTTAATTTTTTTGCAGCTGACTCACCCAACATTTCAGAGCACATGTCAATAGCAGAAGGTAAAATTAACTCCTCAGTGACGGTGTGAGCTTTTTTACATTTTGCAATGTGATATACAACAAGGTAAGAGGCATGCAATGCTTGCTACCAGGCAGTAGATACACATTCAAGTGTTTTTTGTGATGTTTCCAAACCTTTGCTTTTTTGTTTAAATAAATCAAGAGGCTTGTCTTTATAGCTAGAGTGCTTTGTCTCCAAATGGCTATGTAACTTTGATGGTTTTAGGGTTTCATTTGCTAACAGTTTACTGCAGATGACACACTGCAGCCTGTGTTCATCATTTTGGTCCTCAGTAAATGAAAACCCAAACTTTAAGTAGGCAGGGTCATACCTATGTCTACTTTTCTTCTCAGGTTGTGATGAATTCCTACTATCATTGGTACTTTCAGTTGCAACAGAACAGTTTAAAAATGTATCCAATTCACTGACTAAAGACTCACTTTGTGGTTAATATGCAAATTCTTCACTGGAAGTTTTACAGAACGCTCTTTCCCCATAACTCTTCACACGTTGCATTCAATTGGCTAATAAGTAATGCTACAAGTGGGTCACTTCAACCCCACTCCTGCTGAAGCCCCAAGCCCTGGCAGGTGCCTCCTGCAGGGTTGAAGTCCCTAGCCCCACCACCCTAGCCCCATCATGCATCTCAACCCTGTTTAATGATGGGACCCCTTAATGACTGCTATAATTTCTTTTCCTATATTTAATGTTATTCCTTTTTCATTTTCAGATCTTTAAAACTCAGCAAGTACGTACACACATACCAAGGTCTTTTAGGGCCTCTCCTGTGCCTATTGAAGTCAATGTAAAATTTCACCAGAGCTTCCATGGGCTTAGGACCAGGCCCTTATCTCTTTATTTTGCTGAGATAATGTTCAGTGTACAGCAAAAAATAATGTCCTTGAAAACCTGGAAGATTTTAAATTTAGTTTCACTGCTCATATTCCACATACTCTCTACCTCAAGTTTTTAGGTCTGTCTTTTTGAAGACTATCATCTGAATATTGTTGCCTTCACTCTCGCAGATTCTTATGGTCAGACTCTGCCATTCTTGCTCTCAGCGAGTAATCCACCAGCAGCCCCATTGTTCTCAAAGATACTACTCATTGTAAGTAAGGGTGGAAAAACTGCTCAACACTATAATGCAATGATCATTGGCACCAGTTATCTACAACTTCCAGGCTTTCAACAATTCGTACGCACACTTAGTGTTATGTACTAAACAGAAACTAAAGGAAGTCATGGAGCACATAGACACAAGCAGAGCAGGATTTAGCAGAATGTGTATCTTAGAAACACATGAAGACTCACTGGTGATATCAATATAGTCAGTCCTTGGACTTATGACACAATTGGTTCCTTACAATTGCGTCATAACTCAGTACTGCGATCTACTCCATTTTGGGACCGAGCGTTGTAAACTCGAAACCTATAGTCATAAGTTGAATCAGGGTGTCAATACAGAAGCATCGTAAGTGCCGTTTGTTGTAACTCAAATGTCGTAAAGTCGAGGACTGCCTGTATTTGTGACAGTTGAGTACCACGTGAAGGCATATTGTAGGGAGGTACAACCAAAAAAGCAAAATATGAACCAGGAATGTAGATGACACAGTTCCTGAAGTCAAACTATCATCTGTCATGTAAATTGGGCAAACAGCCAAAATGGCAAAACACACCGTAATCATGAACAGGTGTGCAAAGCAGTTGACACTTGACTGATAAATCCCTGGATTTGCCATCTGAATCTCAAATTTCTTTTAGTTAACAGATCTCAAAGATTGGTACTGGAGATTAGTAGTATTTTGCAAGCAATCTGTATTTCCTTATTATGCTACTTCACAACAATAATACCATGTTAGAGCTGAACATCTAGAATTTCATCAACTAAAGAAAACTTGCCTAAGGTGAACTTGCTCAGAAGTCCATATGTATCAGTGGTCGGAGCTTGCACACATTTACGTAGGTGCTTAACTTTACTCACGTGCTAAGTTCCACTGAAGTCAATAGGAATACACACAAGTAAAATTATATATGTGCTTAAATGTTTGGAGTATCAAGCCCCATGTGGGATATTCACACTAGCTATTGGATGCTGCAGGAAAAGGGACCTAAGTACCAGTTATTTGATCCACTATGGCAAATCCCAATTCCTTTGTCTGATGGGAGGCTTGACGATTCCTCTCATCCCCTATACATTCGAACAGGAAGCATTACCTCACAGCTTGTAAGTATTCAGATGTAGACACAAAGCTAGGATACAAACTAAAGTGGACTTTAAATGTGTCCGGAATTTTAATCTCTCTGCCTGATTCTGTGATCCTTACTCACCCAAGTAGTCCTTCCTCTATGAGTAGTCCAATTGGAACTAAAGATGCTACTCAGAGTAATGCTGGCAGAATCAGGCCCTCTAAGGTAAATGCAATTCCTATAGTGCAAGTATTTTCTTTCTTCTCACCGGCACTCAATGAACCACTGGCGGATCTGATCCTGAAGACTTTCCTTGATGTCAGGACCTTCCATTTCTCTCAGATGGGTCTTGATGGATACCAGAGCTTTCTCGTATTCAGTCTCATGCCTCCCTTGGACCTCACACCTCTTGGTTTCCACATTCTGGGCACGTGCTACTGAAGCACTTATTCTCTGGAACTGAGGAGGTGGGTTCTGAAAATGAAAAGGGAGAACGAGGTTCAAAATAAAAGGTACAAATTAAAGAAACTTAACGTATGTTGGAATGCTGGGTTGATACTCATGTTCTCTAAGCCTTATTTTATGTGTGAGAAATTAAAAAAAGGAGAGAAAAAAAACACACTCATAAAAAGTGCCTGGATGCACACAATGGTCTATTGTTAGTGTTTCAACCGTAATTAACAAAATTGCTATGTACAAAAACAATCCTTCCAGCGTGGGATCCTGGGATCTCAATGAGACAGGTGAGAAGACTGCTGTGCAGCAAATGCCAACTTTATCCATGTCAGAAGGGTGCCAGAGATTTTTTTTAATTGAATTTTCAAATGTTTGGATTTCCGAGTGGTTCTTTTTAATTAGACAACATTGTTTTTAATTTGTTCAGTTAAAATTTTTTATATGCACTGTTTGGTCAGTTGTTTCCTGGTATTCTGTGGCAGCTGGTAAAACTCCTTTAGGAAATCCACTTCCCTTGAGTAAAACATAAATAAAAATCCAAACACTGTAATAAAAAAGGAGCTCCCCAAATTTCCCATGATTAGATAAACCTGCTAAAGAGAATTTAGGTGCTTAGAAGTCAGAATAAAGTGTTACAAAAATAAATAAATAAGCTCAGCTTTCTGATTGATTTTATATATGTATTTTAGGATAGATACAAATGAGTCTTTCATTTTCAATCAAAGAAATATGAAAAACATCATCTGTGGGGTTGAGTTAAAACTTTCCTAGGTTGTATGTTCCATTCTGTGATCATTTATAAACTGAAAATGTGTTCCTTCTGTGTCAGTAAGTATTTTCCACCTTGGAGGTTAAAAATAATATATTTAAAACTGATTCACTGATTTAGTTCAACTTATCTTCTGTGTCACTCTGAGTAAATATAACTCCTGTACTTTCCCCTGACATCATTTATATTTGTACCCAACCCCCCACAAATCCAAACGTCTTTCAAGGGCCTGAGCCAAAGGCCATTGACTCATACACTTTAAGGTCAGAAGGGACCATCATGATCATCTAGTCTGACCTCCCTGCACAGCACAGACCGCAGAACCTCATCCACTCACTCCTGTAATAGGCTCGTAACCTCTGGCTGAGTTACTGATGTCCTCAAATCATGATTTAAAGACTTAAGTCAGAGAACCCACCATTTACTGTAGTTCAAACAAGCAAGTAACCTGTGCCCCCCTCTGCAGAGGAAGGAGAAAACCCCACAGGGTCTCTCCCAATCTGACCTGAAATGAATGGGAATCTTTTAATTGACTTAAGAGGAGCTTTAGAATCAGGCTCTACATTCTGTTTGTTCTACCATTGTATATCGCTTCACTGAAAGTCACAATACTAGAGAGAATACCTACAAGAAAGAAAGAGCGAGCCCTCTACGGTAGGACTGGCCAGCTTCTGTTTAGTTTCATTTAGATGGTTCTCTTCAGTGTTGCACCAGATTCCAATGATTACTAACACATGTCAGACAGAAAAGATGCCCAACAAGTAACAAGTAAACTTTAGTTTCAGAATATATAAAATGAATTTTATGCTATATCTGAGGTATGATCATCTTAGGCCCTGATTCAGGACAGCAGTTAACCATTTTTCCTGTATCTGGACCATACTCAGGTGACTTACAACAAAATGATACAGAAACGAAATGGACAAAACCAGTCAATGAGCAAATACATACAAGAAAACTAGAGCAGCAGTGTGCTCTTGGGATGCAGTTCCATATATTCCGTACTTGACAATGTCTTCAGAAGATATTGCCTTGGGTTAATTCTCAGAGCTTCCATAGAAGCCAAAACCATTCCGTCTACATTCAGCAATCCTCATAAAATACTTTGCAATAAATATTAATACCAATAATTATTTACACTTGTATCTTTTTGCCTAAGAATCCCAGTGTCCTTCATAAACATTAAACGTGAGAGTACCCCTTTGCAGTAGGTATTTTGCCACTTTTTAAGTACTTGCCCGTTTACAGCACCAAAAGGAGAACCCAGGACTCCTATCTCCCAGATCTTGCTCTGACTGTTGACACCACTCCCTCTTAAACCGTGCCAGAACCTTTCTATCTGCTTGAATTTAAAGAAATTCTAGGACGAGATTCTTTCTGAGCTGCTTCTATCAGATCAGTTCCCTATGCTGTTCTCAAAGGCAACCTACATGAGTAGAAGTATTGGCCAGGGAAATAACATCAGGCCTGGTTTTGTGTAGCTAGGCCAGCAAAACTCTACCCTACTGCACCCTGCCCTTATATATTGCCATAATTGTTTCTGTGAATAGACAGGCTTACAGGTACTGTTGTGGTACAACACAGTGGGTATCCTGTTGGAGGGTGCCTTTCGAAAAGGAGATTCTGGTTGGACACTCACGAGAGGTAATTTTATTTGGAATCATTGTTTATGGCTCAAAGTTCTCTCCATCCATGAGTGGTGAGAAGAAAGGTGGAAGGAGAGAGAACTGGGAGTGTGAGCGGAAAATAGTTGGGGGTGTGAACCCCAGGAATGGTGGGATCTGGGGCGAGGGTTGGATATTTCCCAATGAGCAAAGAGGGGTTCTCCTCTGACCCTTCTGAGCATAAGGATTTGAGAGGAGAGGCAGAGAACCACACATACATTTTTTCTGACTTGGGGCAACTCAGTGTCTCTCTTTATGAGGAATGTGTGTTAGCGTATATTCTAAACCAGCTGGCCAGGCATTGGCAGACCCAGTGGCCAAGTTAGTCCATGAACTGGCCTATAGGTGGACAGCGGGAAATTTCCTACTTTACTAATACAAAGGACAGCCAGTGGCAGAGAGATCTGCAGTGGCTGCTTCTTGCTGTGTTATCTCTTGTTAATTCTTAGGGTACTATTTTATTAGAAAGTGACAATATGTGCCACTTATACCAAGGAGAGTGTGAGAATCCTCTATACGTCTTGATAATAAATGAAAGAAAAAAGGGGAAAAAATTATCAAATGTACTTTCATTAGATGTTATGGTATACTCTATGGCCATCAATCCAAATTCCTTTCTTTCTTCTCTTAATATTTCCTAAATTAAATTACAGTAATTACTCATGTGGAAATGGTGTATTTAAATAGGGAAAGAGGCAGCTGTTGATATGACATGTTGCTGCTTGATTGTTTCCATCATTGAGAAGATGGAGCTAACTCAAATATGAAAGGCCAGATAAGCAAGAATTACAGAAGAGGAGTGGGAGAGAGATTCTGAAACAAGAAGCAACAGGGGCTAGGATAAATGACTACTGAAGGATTCATGGCAGGCGGATGTGGCACACACGTTATGATTCTGCTTGTGAGTGAAGACCACAAGGTTTATACACGTAAGAAATACAAGATGGCTTCTGTTCTCAAGGAAAATGAGGAGAGTGATGAACTGCAATTTAAAAATCATGTAATGCATATTTGGCTTTTAGTAAAATGTTACATACATACGATAGACCTGCTTCACCATTGGGTTACTCCTATTGAAATCAATGGAATTATACTGAGGGGGGAAAGGGGTGGGAGGGAAAGCACATGGTGAATTAGGCCCAGTAGTATGTCTCAGGATCTTTCAAAATAAATTCTGATTGGCTTAAATATAGAAACCACAAAGAATATTCACACAGAGCAGTATATCAACTTAGGTCTATGACTAGCAGGGAAAGGGATTGACACATAAGGAAAGGGGTGGAAAGAGCTTGTTATGTACACGTTGGCTAAGCAATAAGTAAAATTGAGACATAATCTATATAAAGTTCATTTAATCTTGGTGTCTAAGTACTAATCACAATGATGACACAATGATAAGTTTACCGATAGGTGAAGGATATAAACAATGAAGAAAATAAATTAGTTGATAGGGTACAACTAAGGATGAAGGGATGAAATAGAAGAAAATTAAAGCTGAAGATGAAGGGAAAAACTCCTGGCCTCGAGACTTACTAGGCTATGAATAGTCTCCCAAGGGAAGTGTTAGAAACCCTCAAACTTGGGTCAATTAAAAAGAACAGTGTCAACTTAACATTAGTGAGTTTTAAAAAAAATAAACCCACTATAGTTTTATATACGATCCTGGTTCCTGAGTTCAACAACCAATTTTTTGTGCATTTACAATCATATTTCCCTACTTTCTTTAAAAAGGGTTTTTCTTCTACTCTTACTTGTGAAAGACTCAGACAACTAACAAAGGAAAATGACAGACTACACAAGGAAACAGTGCTAAGTGCGTACACAGTATGTTGGTTTTTTACACTAGTTATAAAAAATTTAATCTACTTTTAAAACAAAATCTTTAAATAGGATCTCCGGCCTTCTCAAATTTAAATGAAAGGAAAGGAAAAATGCATTGAACATTGCTAATGATGGTACAGTTGTGAATTAGAGAATAATTTTTCTGCCCTCTTGCTTTACAAAGGAACAAAGCCAATAAGACAGTACATTACTGGAGCGCTTTTTCTGTGGACCTTAGGCTGTTCTCTTTGTATAGAAAGTGTCATTTTCTATGTCATCTTAAATGTCACCTGTTTGAGGTAGTATCAAGAAACCTATTTTCCTAAATCCCACCCTAAAGGCCTCATTGACCTTGGAGAGCACGCAGCACCTAGAGAACCCAGTAGCCCTGCTGAGTTTTCTTTGCATACTCCTTTCAAAGAGGGAGATGTTCAGGGGACTACAAAGGAGTCATGAGGCATGACCTACACACATAGAGTGTCCAAGCATGCAGGGGAAAGTAAACATTAACCTGATGGAGGGGTTGCCCCGCTTTGGTGGTGACTGTCCTCCAAGACAACATGACTTCAAACACCCCAGCAACTACAGCATTCAGATGACAATCTTTGAATACTACCAAACAATATTCCATGGACAGTCCCCAGAATTCTTAAAGTTTTCATAGCTATCATCTATATACTTAATGCACGTTAAAAACAAAAGCCAATTTCTTTTCTATGTTGTTTCTCTGAATGCTTTTAATGTGGCTGCTTTTGACTCCTAGG